ATGGTCCAGACGACGGACGTGCCCGTGCCCTTGTTCGTGAGCCGCCGCCGGAGCGTGTCGCCCTCGACGCTCAGGACGTGCTCCATGACGCCCGCGGCGCGGTCGCGGGGCGCCGCGACGCGAGACTCCTCGACCACGCGGAGCCGGCCGTCGCGGCACGACACGGTGCGGAGCACGGGCTCGCCGCCCGGCGCGCGGTCGAGCACGGGCGGGCCGTTGACGAGCGCGGGCGCGGTCGACTGGTCGAAGAAGAAGCAGTCGCTCTCCTCGGACTCGGAGTAGCGGCCCTCGGCGTCGAGGTGGTGCTCGAAGACGCCCCCGTTGGCGAGCGTGTGGCGGAGCACCTTGCGGAAGTAGAGCGGCACGCGCTTCTCGTCGCCGAGCTTCTCGAGCGCGGCCATGTCGTCGACGGCCACGGCCTTCCACTTCCCCGCGAACTGCGCCGCCGCGGCCCACGTCTCCGCGTCCAGCCCGTCGCCGCCCCGCGCCGCGACCGGCTCGTCGCCGCCCAGGTCCACCACGTCCAGCTCGTCGCTGCCCCGCGCCACGACGCGCACGTCGGCGAGCACGCGCCGCGTCTCGCCGCGCCGACCGACCGGCCGGCCGACGGGCGGCCGGCCCAGGGGCTGCGGCCGCAGGGCCGCGGCCCCGGCCACGCAGGCGAGCCCCACGACCAGCGTGCGCATCACCATATGTTTGGAAGGCGCTTATTGTCCCTTCTACCATATGTTTGGGGTCCCTTTATCGAAAGCTGTCCCTTCTGACGAGAAGTTCACCGGTAGAAGAATAGAGCTGAAGTACACCGAATGCGTGGTAGCGAATTTCAGCTACAACTAAAACTTCGAGGACTCGAGCGATGGCAGCCACTCCATCGCAACGTCCTGGAACTCTTGCGGTTCAGCATCCGAAAGATACATGACATTGTAATTGAAGGCTGGCGCATACGCTTCCGCCATGGCCGCCGACGACGCATGGTGCCCCCGCGGGGCGGAGGACCTGGGCGTCGCGTCGAGCGTCGGCGGGCTCTGGGCGCGCAACGCCGCGTCGCGGCCCTCGTCGCGCTGCGTCGCCGAGTACTCGTCCGCGGCCGGCGCCGAGGCCGGGCGGCTGAGCTGGGGCGAGTTCGACGCGGCGGCGTGGGGCTGCGGGCTGGCCCTGGCGGCCCTCGCGCCGGAGCGCGTGGCGCTCCTGGCGCACCCGACGGCGGCCCAGTACTGCTGCGCGGCCGGCGCGGCGCGCGCGGGCCTGAGCGCGTGCCTGCTGAATTGGCGCCAGCCCGCGGCCGCGCTGTCGCACGCGGTCGCCGTCGCGGCGCCCGAGGCCCTCGTCGCGTCGCGGCCCTTCGCGGCGCTCGCCGCCGAGGCGTCCGCGGGAAACGTCCCCGTCGCGCGCCTCGGCGCCGTCGCGTCGCCCGCGCTCGGCTTCGCGGACGACGGACGGCTGTCGCCGGCGCCGGTCCGCCCGCGGCCCGCGCCGGCGGCGCCGGACGCCGAAGTTCGCGCGACGGTCTTCGTCTTCTTCACGAGCGGCTCCACGGGCCGGCCCAAGGGCGTCCCGCACACGAACGGGAGCCTGCTCGCGCCAGGGCAGCAAAAGGGTGATTCAACGTCGCTTCAACGTGAGTGTTCCGCGCGCGCGCGTTCTAGAAAAAGCATCCACGCTTCGAGGCCGTTCCAAGAGATGATCGCTCGTCCAAAGATCAGCCGAAACGAGTGGAAAACGACCGAGATAGGAGCCTTTGAAGTTGGGAATTTCGCACCCTTTTGCTGCCCAGGCTCGCGCAGTGCCGCAACGCCGCTCGCGCGTCCGCGGCCGTCGGCGCGGGCGCGTTCGCCGGGCCCGACCCGCCGCCGACGCTGGCCTTCCTGCCCAACTTCCACGTCATCGGCTTCGTGCTGAACTTTGTGCTGCCCGCGTTCCTCGGCGCGCCGTGCGCGACGCACGCGGAGTGCGAGTCGTCGCCGCTGTCGCTCGCGCTGCTTCTCGACGCCGCGGCCGCGCTCGGGCCCGCGACGGTCGACACGGTGCCCGCCCTCCTCGAGGACCTGGCGCGCCGGCCGGACCTGGCCGCCGCCGCGAGACCCTTCGTCGGCCCGGCCGTCGCGTACGGCGGCGCGCCGCTCGCGCCGTGGGCGGCCGCGAAGCTCCGGGCCGCGGGCGTGCGGGCCTTCTCCCAGTACGGCGCGACGGAGCACGGCGGGCCGCTCCTCGTGGGCGCCGCGGGGGACGCGTTGGGCGCCATGCGCGGCACGGGCGGCTGCGACCTCGTGCTCGACGCGGACGGCTACCGGTCGCCGGACGTGCTCGAGGGCGAGCTCCAGGGCAGCAAAAGGGTGCGAAATTCCCAACTTCAAAGGCTCATATCTCGGCCGCTTTCCACTCGTTTTGGCTGATTTTTGGACGAGCGATCATCTCTCGGAACGGTCTCGAAGCGTGAATGCTTTTCCCGGAACGCGCGCGCGGAACACTCACGTTGAAGCGACGTTGAATCACCCTTGTCCTGCCCAGGCGAGCTCGTCGTGCTCGGCTGCGGCTACGTGACGCCCGGCTACCTCGGCGCGCCGGCGCCGAGCCCGCCCTTCGAGGCGGAGCGGCGCACGGGCGACGTCTTCCGGCGCGTCGAATCGGCGGGCGGCGCCGCGTTCGCGTACGTGTGCCGCAGGGACGACCTGCTGGTCCTCTCGTCCGGCGAGCTCGCGAACCCCCTGCCGCTCGAGGCGCGCCTCGCGGCGGAGCTCCCGCCGGACGTCCGGGCCTGCGTCATCGGCCAGGGGCGCACGAGCCCCGTCGTCGTCGTCTCGAAGCGCGTACCGCGGGCCGCGCTCGCGAGGGCGTGCGCGGCGGCGAACCGCGCCGCGGAGTCGTACGCGCGCGTCGCGCCCGACCGCGCGGTCTTCCTCGACGACGGCGAACCCTGGCCGACGAACGCCAAGGGCGTCGTCGTGCGGGGCGCCCTCGAGGCCGCCGCGCGCGACCGCGCGGACGCGCTCGACGAGGTCCACGTCGTCGGCGACGGCGACGACGACGACGCGTCGTCCGACGACGCGGCCCCGGGGCCCGATCTCCGCGGCGCGATCCTCGACGAGGTCGAGGCCCTGACGGGCCACCGCCTGGGCGCCGACGCGCCGCTGCTCGGCGCGCGCGGCCTGAGCTCGTCCGGCGTCTTCGCGCTGTCGCGCGCGCTCGGCGAGCGCCTCGGGCGGACGGTCGCGCCCAGGGCAGGACAAGAGAGCGAAATTCCCAACTTCAAAGGCTCATATCTCGGCCGTTTTCCACTCGTTTCGGCTGATTTTTGGACGAGCGATCATCTCTTGGAACGGTATCGAAGCGTGAATGTGTTTTTCGTTACGCGCGCGCGCGGAACACTCACATTGAAGCGACGTTGAATCACTCTTGTGCTGCCCAGGTCGCGCCCGCGCGCGTCTTCGACTTCCCGAGCGCCGCGGCGCTCGCCGGCGCCCTCGCGGGCCGCGGCGCGCCGCGGGCGGCCGCCGCCGTCGAGCGCGCGCGGTCGGCCGCCGCGGCCGTCGCGGCCGCGGCGCTCTCCTTCGGCGGCGGCGCGGGGGACGCGCGGTCGCTCGCCGCCGCCGCGCGCTGGGGCCGCGACGCCGCGGGCGCCGTGCCCCTCGCGCGCTGGGCGGCGCCGCCGCCGGATGCCCGGCGCCTCCGCGCCGCGGCCTACGGGACCTTCTTCGCGGACGCGTCGACGCTCTTCGCCTTCGACGGCGGCGCGGGCCTCGGCCTCGGCCCCGCGGAGGCCCGCGTCGCGGACCCGCAGACGTTCCTCGTCCTCGAGGCGGGCGGCCAAGTCCTCGAGGCGTCGGGGGCGTTAGCCGGCGGGGAAAAGCGCGTCGGCGTCTTCACGGCCTTCATGGGCGGCGACGCGGCGTCGCTCCGGGGGCCCGTCGCTGTGTGGAAATCAACCACTGGTTTGGGGGGTCCTGACCAAACTTCAGAACTCTCTATCTCAATCAAATCGAAGTCGATTCGGCTGATTCTTGGACGAATCGATCGCTCTCGTCGAGTTCTCGAAGCCCAGCCAAAGAGCTTGTGTCAAAACATTCGAATACGCACACATTGAAGTCGGGTTGAAGATTTGATTTCCACACAGGCCCGTCGGCGCCGTGAACTCGCCCTACGAGCTGAGCGGCTGCGGCGCGTCCACCGTCGGCGCGCGGCTGTCCTACGCCTTCGCGCTCACGGGGCCCGCGGCCGCGGTGGACACGGCCTGCAGCTCGAGCCTCGCCGCGGCGCGAATGGCGCTGCAAGAAATTCGGGACGGCGCGTGCGCGTTCGCGGCGCTCGTCGCGCCCAACCTGATGCTCGACGGCCGCTACCCGCACGCGGGCCTCGCCATCATCGGCATGCTCTCGCCCCGGGGCCGGTGCCACGCCCTCGACGACCGCGCGGACGGCTTTCTTCGTTGCGAAGGGAGCGCGGCGTTCGCGCTTGTGCCTGACGGCGACGCGTCGTCCACAGCGCCGCCCGCGGTCCTCGGGCTCGGCCTCGGCCACAACGGCCACGCCGCGAGCTTCCTGGCGCCCAATGGCGCGGCCCAGCGGCGCTGCGTCGACGCCGCGCGGCGCGACGCGGGCCCCGGCGGCGCCTACGCGAGCCTCGAGCTCCACGGCACGGGCACGGCCTTGGGCGACCCCGTGGAGATCGGCGGCCTCGCGGCGGCGGGCGAAAGCGGCGCCCTCGCGCTCTCCGGCGTCAAGGCGACGCTCGGCCACGCCGAGTCCTGCGCGGGCTGCGCGGGCCTCGGCGACGCGCTCCTCGCCGCGGCGCGCGGCGAGCGCCGGCCGAGCCGCCACCTCCGGAGGCTCAACCCGCAGCTCGCGCCGCCGCCGCCGGGCCTCAACTGGCACGTCGACGCCGCCGGCGCGACCGACCGGAACGCCCGCGGCGGCGTCTCCTCCTTCGGCTGGTCCGGCGTCCTCGCGCACGCGGCGCTCCGGCCGGGCCCGGTCCCGGCGCCGCGCGCCGCGGCCGCGGGCGCCGCCCTCTCGAGGAGCGCCTTCCGCGCCGCGGTGCCCTGCCGCGACTGGTGCGCCCAGAAGCGGCGCTGGGTCGCGGCGCAGGGCGCGCGCGGCGCGGCGCCCGCCGCGCCCGCGGCGCCCGCCGCGGCCGCCGCGCCCGCGCGCGCGTCGGACGCGGCCGGCGTCGTCGCCGCGGTCCTCGCGCGCTGGTTCCCGGAGGCGCTCGACGCGCCCGACGCGGGGCTCATGGAGCTCGGCGCGTCGTCGCTCGACCTCCAGAGCATCGCCGACGACCTCGGGCAGCGCGCGTCGGCCGACGTGAGCTCCTGTGTGGAAATCAACCATTGGTTTGGGGGGTCCCCACCAAACTTCAGAACTCTCTATCTCGGTCAAATCGATGTCGATTCGGCTGATTTTTGGACGAATCGATTGCTCTCGTCGAGTTCTCGAAGCATAGAAGAAGAGCTCGCGTCGAAGCCGTCGCATACGCTCACATTGAAGTCGGGTTGAAGATTTGGAATCCACACAGGTGAGCTCCGTCGACGTCGTCGACCGGTCGTCCGCGAACGGCCTCGCGGCCCTCCTCGGGGGCGGCGTTTCGCCCGCGGCCGCGGCGGCCCCGAACGCGGCGCCCGCCGCGGGCGGCGGGGCCCTCGCCGTGCGCGCCGTCGTGTCCCACCTCGGCGGCGGCTGCCGCGGGTCCGCCGCGCTCGCGGCCGCGGCCCTCGCCGGCGTCGGCGCCTGCGCGCGCGCGTCGCCGTCGCGGCTCGCGGCCTACGGCTACGCCGGCCCCCAGCCGCCGGCGGCCGCGTACGGGAGCTTCGCGCTCGCGAGCGAGGCGCTCGAGAGCGGCGCGGACTTTGGGCTCGCGGCCGCGGAGGCGCGCGCCAGGGCGGGACAAGAGAGCGAAATTCCAAACTTCAAAGCCTCATATCTCGGCCGTTTTCCACTCGTTTTGGCTGATCTTTGGACGAGCGATCATCTCTTGGAACGGTCTCGAAGCGTGGATGCTTTTTCCGGAACGCGCGCGCGCGGAACACTCGCGTTGAAGCGAACTTGAATCACTCTTGTGCTGCCCAGGCGCGCGCGCTGCACCCGAGCCAGGCGCATACGCTCCGCGCGTTCGCGGAGGCGCTCGCCGCGAGCGGCCCCGCGGGCGACCGCGTCGCCGTCGCCCTGGGCGCGCGCGCGGTCCTCGAGCCCGTCCGGGCGGCCGCGGTCTTCGCGCCGGGAGCGCGCGCGCCGCCGCCGTTCTTCGCGCTGACGGACGGCGCCGCGTCCGTCGCGAGCGGCCGCGTCAGCTTCGCGCTGGGGCTCCGCGGCGCGTGCCTGACCCTGGACACGGCCTGCTCCGCGTCCCTCGTGGGGCTCCACGTCGGCGCGTTCGAGGCGTCGAGCGGGAGCGCGGATTCGGCGCTCTGCGGCGGCGTCAACGCGGCGGACCACGGCGCGTCGCGGCAGTGCGCGGCCGCGGGCATGATCTCGCCCAACGGCCGCTGCCACACCTTCGACGCGCGGGCCGACGGCTACGCCCGCGGCGACGGCGCGCTCGTCGTCGCCGTCGGCGGCGCGCCGGAAAACTATGCGGCGCTCGCGGGCGCCGCGGCGCGCGCGGACGGCCGCTCCGCGTCGCTGACCGCGCCGAGCGGCGTCGCGCAGGAGGCGCTGCTCCGCGCCGTCGCCGCCGTCGTCCGCGCCGTCGCCGCCGGCGAGTCAAAACTCGTCCTGGAGGCCCACGGCACGGGGACGGCCCTGGGCGACCCCATCGAGGTCGGCGCGGCGAGGCGCGCGCTCGCGGAGACCGGCGAGGTCCGCGCGCAGAGCTGCAAGTGCCTCTTCGGCCACGGCGAGCCCGCGGCGGGCCTCGCGGGCGCCGCGGCCCTGCTCGCCGGCGGCGCCGCGGTCGCGCCGTCGGCGGCGCTGCGGTCCGCGAACGCGCACGTCGCGCTCGCGTTCGCGCGCGCGCTCGGGCCGGCGCCCGCGGCCGACGCCGCGCCCGCGGCCGGTAGCGGCGGCCGCGTGTCCTCCTTCGGCTTCAGCGGGACCATCGCCCACGCGGCCTTTGCCGTCCTCGGCCCGGGGGCCGTGCGCGCGTCGACGGCGCCGGCCGCGTCGGCGCACCGGCGCGTCGCTCCGGAGCCGTCGCCGCTCGCCCGGTCGTTCGCGGCCGCGGCCCGCGCGGGCCCCGGGCTCCTCCGCGCGACGATCCGCGACGAGGCCGCGGCGGACGTGCCCGAGGAGGAGGAGGCCGCGGACGGCGGCGACCTCCTCGACGCCATGGTCGCGGCGACGCGCGACCACCTCGGCGTCGCTACGATCGACGCCGACGAGCCGCTCCTCGCCGCCGAGGGCGCGGACTCGCTCGCGCTGACGAGCCTGCACGCGGCCATGCAGGACCTCGCGAGCCTCGAGCTCCCGGCGACGGTCTTCTTCGACCTGCCGTCGCTGCGCCTCGTGGCCGCGTCCGTCGCGGAGGCGCGCGGCGGCCGGCCCAAGGCTCGGAGGCCGCGGCGGCCGCGCGCGGCGACGGCGCGCGCGGCGCCCGTCGTCGTGCTCGGGGCCGTCGCGGCGCTCCCGGGCGCCGTCGGCTCCCTGCCGGGCCTGCTCGCGCTCGCCGCGCGCGGCGGCGACGCGGCGACCGCGGCGCCGACCGCGCGAATGTGCTACGACGGCGCGCTCGCCGAGGCCCGGGGACCCACGGCGCCGGGGACCTACGGCGGCTTCCTGATCGAGGCGGAGGTCTTCGGGGATCTGCCGGCGTCCCTGGGTTTAGGCGCCCGCGAGGCCGCGGAGGTCGACGCGAAGCAGGTCGACGTGCTCCGCGCGGCCGCGCGCCTCGAGACCGGAAAAACGGCGGACGTCGCGGTCTTCGTGGGCCTCGTGGGCCTGCTGAGCGAGGAGGTCTACCGCCCGCCGTGCTGCGCCTTCGGCGCGAGGACGACGGGCGCCTACGTCGCCGTCGGCGCGGCGCTGAGCGTCGGCGCGGGCCGCGTGTCCTACGGCCTCGGCCTCACGGGACCCGCGGTGGCCCTCGACACGGCGTGCTCCGCGGGCCTCGTCGCCGCGCACCTCGCGGGCCGCGCGCTCGGGAACGGCGACGCGGCCGCGGCGCTCGTCGTCGCCTGCAGCAGGTTGAGCCGCGCGGGGAACGACATCCTAGCCGCGGGCGGCATGCTCAGCGCGGGCGGCCGCTGCCACACGTTGGACGGCCGCGGCGACGGCTACCTCCGCGCGGAGGGCACCGTCGGCGCCGCGCTCGCGCCCGAAGAAAACCCGGCGGCCGAGCTCGCGGCGTCGGGCGCCAAGGCCGAGGGGCGCAGCGCGTCGCTCACGGCGCCGAACGGCTCCGTGCAGGCGCAGCTCCTCGCGGAGACGTGGGATCGCCTCGAGCGCGACGCGCCGGGCTTCGGCTACGAGCTCCACGGCACGGGCACGGCCCTAGGCGACCCCGTGGAGGTCGGCGGCGGCGCGCGCGCGCTCCACGGCCGCCACGACGAACGAATCGCCGCGGCCGCGCGGAGCCTCAAGTCCAACGTCGGCCACCTCGAGGCGGCCGCGGGCCTCGCGGGCTTCGCCGCGTGCCTCCGCGCCGCGGCGGCCGACGCCGCGGGCCCCGCGGCGCAGCTCCGGCGCGTCAACGGCCACCTCGGCGCGCTGCTCGACGGCGAGACCATCGTCGCGCCCGCGACGTCCGCGGCGACCGCGGCCGGCGGCGGCGGCGACGCGCGCGTGTCGTCCTTCGGCTTCTCCGGGACCATCGCGCACGGCGCGGCCCGCGTCCGGCGCCGGGACGTCGTGCGGGCCGCGGCGGCCGCGGCGTCGCGCTACGCGACGGGCCGCGCGGGCGCCGCGGCGCGCGAGCGCGCCGCGCTCCTCGCGACGCTGAGGCGCGTCCAGGCGGCGCCGCGGGGCGCCGCCGCTCCGGCGCCGCGGGCGGCGCCGCGGGACGCGGCCCCGAAGCGCGCGGCCGGCGACGCTTTCGCGGCGGTCGGGGCCTTCCGGGCGCTCGTCGCGGACGCGTTCGGCGGCGCGCCGCCGGCGCGGACGGAGCCCCTCATGGAGGCGGGCCTCGACTCGCTCGGCCTCTGCGACCTCGGCGAGGGCCTCCAGGCGGCGCTGTCGACGCTCCTCCCCGCGACGCTCTTCTTCGACCGGCCGACGGTCGACGCCGTCGAGGCCTTCCTGCACGAGGGCGACGACGACGGCGACGTCGCCGCCGCGGCGCCGCCGGCCGCCGCCGCGGACGGGGCCGACGACGCCGTCGCCGCGCCGAGCCTGAGCTTCCTCATCCCCTTCGCGGTCCGTAGCTTCGCCGCGCTCCGGAATCTGAGCCTCGGCGCGCGCGTCGCGTCGCAGACGATCCCCGCGAGCCGCTGGGAGCGCATGCCCGGCGCGGCCCAGTACGGCGCGCTGGTCGGCGACGACGTCGCGCTCCACGCGGCGGACTTCGGCATCTCGCCGCTCGCGGCCGCGCGCGACGACCCCCAGCAGGTCCACATCCTCCAGTGCTGCTACGGCGCCCTGGCGGCCTGCGCGCAAAGCCGCGCGGCGCTCGCGGGTACGGCCGTCGGCGTCTTCGCGGGCGCGGCGGCCGCGTCGTGGCGCGACGACGACCCGACCTGGAGCCCGGTCACGTACGCGCCGGACCCGCTGGGCGTCGTCCTCTGCGTCGCCGCGGGGCGCGCGAGCTTCCTGCTGGGGCTCCACGGCCCCTGCGTCGCCCTGGACACGGCGTGCGCGTCGTCGTTGGTCTGCGGCCACCTCGCCGCGGGGTCCGTCGCGGCGCGCGAGTCCGAGGGACTGGCGGTCGCCGCGGGCGCGCTCGTGCACCGCGAGTACGTGCTGAACCTCGTGTCGGCGGCGGGCATGGTCTCGCGCCTCGGGCGCTGCCACACCTGGGACGCGCGCGCGGACGGCTACGCGCGGGCCGAGGGCTGCGTCGCGCTCTCCGTCTCCGAGGCCGCGCCGGCGTCGAGGCCCTGGCGCGCGGCCCTCGCCGCGGGCCCGCCGGCCTGGGCGAGCTCCGGCGTCCGCTGCGACGGCGCGTCAGCGTCGCTCACGGCGCCGAACGGGACCGCGCAGCGGGCGCTCCTGAGGGTCGTCACGTCATCGCTACCGGCGGCGCTCCGCGCGGACGTGCAGTGCGAGAGCCACGGCACGGGCACGGCCCTCGGCGACCCCATGGAGCTCGGCGCCGTCGCCGCCGCGCTCAGGGACGCGGATAGTGTTATGGTCGCGTCGCTCAAGGCGCACGTGGGCCACCTCGAGGCCGCGGCCGGCGGCGGCGGCGTCGCGCACGCGCTCGCCTGTAGCGTCGCGCGCGCGAACCCGCAGCTGCGGCGCGTCAACGCGCACCTCGGGCCCGTCGTGTCCGGGGCGGGCGCGCCGCGCGCGCCCGCGGGCCTGACGCCGATGCCCGGGGCGCCGTTCCCGCGGCGCGTGTCGTCGTTTGGCTTCGGCGGCACGATCGCGCACGGCGCGGTCGTCGGCGGCCGCGCGGAGCCCGGGGGCGCCGCGTCGGCGTCGGCGCTGCGGGCGGGCACCGCGGCCTTCGCGCCGCTGCGCAAGACCCACTGGCGCGCGGCGCAGGGCGTCTTCCGCGCGGGCGGCGCGGCGCGCGACGCGCTCGCCGCGGCGATGGCCGCGAAACCGCCCGCGGGCCCGACGTCCGCGACGACGGCGACCTTCGCGAGCCCGCGCGCGGCCGTCGCCGGCGCGCTCGAGGCCCTGGGCCTGCCGCGGGACGCGGCCATGGCCGACGTCGACTCGCTGGGCGTCACGGCCCTCGCGTCCGCGGTCAACGACGCGTGCGGCGTGTCCATCGACGTCGGCGACTTCATCGCGCTCGAGTCGAGCGCGGAGGTTATCGCCATGGTCGCCGCGGCCGTGGAGGACCGCGGCGACGTCGTAGAAGCCCTCGGCGACGCGGCCGCGCCGGGCGGGCTCTGGCGGCCCGAGGGCTACGACCTCGTCGTCCGGGGGCCGCCCTGCGCGGTGCTCCGCGACGGCGCGGGCGCCGCGAAAGCGCTGGTCCTCGTCCACGACGAGTCGGGCTCCTGCGCGTACCTCGCGAGGCTCCTCGTGACGCCGGCGACGACGCTGAGCGGCGTCCGCGTCGTCGCGTTGCAGGCGCCGGAAATCAGCGACGGGCGCGCGCGGCCCGCGGACGAGGCCGCGCGCGCGGCGTCGTACGCGGCCGCGGCCCGGGCGGCGCTCCGCGGGCGGCCGCCCGCCGTCGTCGTCGGCGGCGGCGCCTGCGCGAGGCTCGCGGCGCGCGTCGCCGCGGCGCTCGACGCGGAGTCGCTCGTGCTCGTCGACGCGGCGCGCGGCGGCGCCGGTACCGACCCGGGCCGGTCCGACGCCGTCGACCGGGGCCGCCTCGTGGGCCGGGGCTCCGCGGGCGAGTTCGCCGCGGCCTTCTACGGGGGCTACGCGGCCGCGAAATTCGGCGCCGGCGCGCTCGACGACGCCGCGGCGCCCGGCGCGACCGTCGCGGACGCGCGGCGGCGGCTCCCGGCGGCGCCGGGCGCGCGCGAGGACCTCGACGCGCTCCGCGAGTTCGCGTTCCACTACGCGCCCGAGCCCTGGGGCGACGGACCGGCGCGCGGCGTCGAGGTCCGGACGCCGGCCGCGTCGCGCGGGTCGCGCTGGGCCGCGCGCTTCGGCGCGGCCGCGGCCGGGCGCGACGATTTGCTCGGTGCGGCGCCCCTCGCCGCCCTCTTCGGCGACCTCAGTAGCCGGACCTTCGCCTACGTGCCCTTCGT